GTATCTAACTTATAGAGTACTTTTAGTAAAAATAAGATACTAAAACTAATCTACTAGTCGCTATACTAGCCGGAACTAAAATAGGATGTAAAAGTATACTATAAGACTTATAAGGTATACTAAAAAGTAAAAGTACTAAGAATAATACTATAAGGCAAATTAGAGTTACTACTGATCCTAGAAAACGTATAGGAAGAAATCGTACTAGACTTTGTTACGAAAATCGCTAGAGAAGTAGAGGGTATTATAGGTCGCCCTAATAGGAACAGGAAACAAACAAAAGAAACGTATATAGTATAAGACAAACTATTATAACCCTAGCAACCTGATTAACTAAATCCTACCTAAGTAGGCCTCTGCCGCTAACAAAGCCTTTAGTCTATAGTAGGTACTAGTAAAGGGACTTACTTGTTATAAGGAATTTTGGGCTAGGCGGACTAGCAATATAGGACCTCTACCTTATTATCGGATGACTAGCCTTTATTCTAGACTCTATACTTAGCCTACATTATAATAGTTCCCTACTAGAAGAATAGGTTATATAGAACTCTAAGAAATAGGGCGCTCTATATACTCTAGAGAGAAACCGCAAAATAATAGTATATCTATAGAGGCGCGAGAGGCGTCTAAGTGCTAGAGAGCTACCTTAAAGAGAGCTAGTTATAAGTAGGTCGTCGTCTTAAGGTTCTATAAGCCTAGGCGACGACACGTTGCCTATAGCCTAGTCCTTATCCTTAGCGCTCTAGTCCTACTCGTCTTCGTTATAATTATCGTTAAAACGATACGATAGCTTAGGGTTTTTAATAGGTTATAGGTTTCGCCGAGTATAGCAAGGAGTAGTGTAGATAGAACGAGGAGCCTAGAAGGAGCGCTAGCTACGATCGTATAGGTATATAGCTTAGTCCAAAGCCTTAGCGGCGATATTTTCTAGTATATTAAAGTTATATCTAGTAATATAGCTAGGTAAAGGGATTTACATAGTATTAAGGATATAGTATAAGGAGTATATAGCGCTTTGTTCGTATATAGGAGCAACCTATATACTTTGACCTCTATACTAGGAGTATAATATCGGCCGAGAGGCTATTATAGGGTCGCCGCAATAACAGGATAGTATATTATTAGATATATCTTAGCAAAGATACTACTTATAACAGTATAGGCTAGGCTTAGGAAGGCGTCCTAAACGAAGTTAGGCAACGTTAGTCTATACTCTAGAGATAGCTCGTAGATCTTCTTACTATAGTAGCGAGAGGTTATAGAGGTTCTGGCTACTATAGGCTAGTCCTTATTATTAACGGCACTTAAAGATAACTTTAAAAACTATAAGAGCTTATTCTCTAATATACTTAACGAATCTAGGGGAGAAGAAGCGACATATTAAAAAGGCTTGAAAAAGCAACTTTGAACGAAAGGATAGAAAAGAAGTACTTAAAAAAGCACTTTAATATAGCATCGATACCGTCCTGGATAATATAGCGAAGCTGCGTTCTTTCGTACTATAAACTGGGGTCCCGATAACACGATCAATCTTAGCAAGGTACCCGGAGAACTACAATGAGCTTCTTTCTAGCGCTTATAAGCTATAGCTATTTTAGAGGTCGGCTACGCGATATCTTTCTACAAATCGCTCGGCGCCTTATATTTAATAGTAATCCTCTATTGAGATTAGTCCCTATCATCTAGCTAGATCCCTGCTAGGGTATTAGCGGATTCCTCGCCAAACGTATTCTATAATAGAGGTCCGAGGTATAAGAGGTATAAACAATATATAGCTTACTATCTAAGGCATAATAATTCTATCCTTCCTTTCCTAGAGGAAGGTTATTACTATATATACAAGCTATACTATTACCTACTCCTCGCTACCGGTACCGCCCTCTTAGGTAGCGATCTTAACTTGGGAATGTCTTTGATTAGGGAGGTATCCTTCTTATAACCGATCGCTAGAGGTCTACAGGGCCTCTAATCTTATAGCGGTCCGCTAGGGCTTTCTGCTCTTAGTATACTTAGAAAGCTTTATAGCGATAGTTTTTATACAGAAATTTATATAAATCCTTTAGGAGAGTATACTTCCTTTGCTATAATCTACGCTTTTGAAGTTATCTATTATTAGAAATTTAAAGTAAAAGGCTGTTCTCTATGCCTAATATTATAGTAACTAGAGCTTTAAGTACTATAGAACGATTATAGATGCTTTCTATAGTACTATAATAGCCCTTCTCGGTTAAAACTGTACATCCTCTTATAATTTCTAAGCCCTTTAGGCGTACAAAAATGAAGGCTTTATTGCTTGTCCCTATTGCCTAGTAGGGCACTCCTATATGCAGTAGAATATAGCTTAACGAAAATTGAGTCTTTATAATAAACGGATTACTATATTACTCTACTCTACTTAAATTAAATATATATACTAGAACGCGCTATATACCTATTATATACTTGTTTGTATTAGCAACCTTTGCCCTTATGTCCATATATTTTGCTTGCTTTTATTGCTCTATATACCTTCTATACCTTAATATTCAAGTTTAGCTGCTATAGATATTATAGAGCAGGCTCTATATACATTCTTAGTAATAGTAAAGTAGTAGAGTTTGTTAATCGCTTAAGCGCTATTAAAGCTTACTCTTAGATGCCGACGCAAGCATATAATCCTTAGGATACTAAAAGACTAACGTATTTATATTAGTAAGTCACTTGATCTTTGTATAGAACTATAGTAGTATATACTTCAGTTGATAGGCTATATACTAGTCTTCTTAAATATACTATACAGAGTATTAGAGAATAATGTTAGAAACACTAGAAGTTAGTAGGAGATCTGTATACTTCCTATAATATTATTAAGTGACTAGCAGACGGCCTCGTCCTAGACAGCTATATAAAGCTTACTATATATTAAGAATAGTATGTCTACTAGTAACGGCAATATAAAATATACTTCAATATATATTTCATAGTATAAACTAGACTTAGCTATATATAATATTAGCAACCTTAAGTAATAGTAGTAAAGTCCTTTAGTCTATATACTAACTAGAACGTAGTTAATAGTAGAACTCTTCTTCGAACTAACTCTAGATACTATATAAGCTGGTTAGTACCTATATAGTACATACTATAGATAGCTATTTGCTACTAGTATAAAAAGAGTATATAAGAATAAATATATCGTACTTTTACTAAGAATACCTATAGTTTGGTTCCAGAGACACTAATAGTTAATATCGAATAATTTGGTAATAATAGTTATCAGTAGGTAGTACAGAGTAATAGCTATCTACTTTACAGCCTTTTTCTGGATAGGCTATATACTAATTAACTTTCAGAAGAAATGTAATACTTATTAAGGTATTGCAATTAGGTATCTTTCTAGGCTTATAGCCTGCGAGGTATTTTAGAGATATTTCGAGTATAAGTAGGTACTTGATTAGTAGGACGAGTAGGAGTAGAGAGTAAATAAATGCTTGCTATCTAGAATTCTATCTAGAGGTAGCTCGAAGGCGCCTAAGCACTAATTAGAAATAAGATAGAGATAGAGGATTATCTCTACCTCTACCTCTACCTCTATCTCTACCTCTACCTCTATCTCTACCTCTATCTCTATCTCTATCTCTATCTCTATCTCTATCTCTATCTCTACCTCTATCTCTATCTCTATCTCTATATCTTTCTCTTAATTACCTAGATGCCTCTACCTCCGTCTCTATCTCTTAATTACTTAAGTAACTTGTCTTATCTTAGTTCTTCTTAAAGTAGGTAGGGATAGGTCACTAGGGGTCGTTTGCCTTAAAGTGTTGTATATACTTCGTTTAGAGTAGAAGGAGGTCGTTCTATACGAATTAAAGATTCTCTTTAGTAAGAAGGTAAGTTAACATACTACTTTCTAATTACTATAGAACAGCCTCCTTCCCTTTAAAGCGAAGTATAGATTAGAAAAGGTAGAAGCAAAGCAGTAATATAAGATATATAGTAGGCTAGAAGCTCTAGAGAGTATATATAAAGGGCCTTACCCTTATAGAATACTCTAATTATTATATCCTATATAGTAGAGCACGCTAGATCTGCTAGACTTAAGATATTACTATCTCGAAGGAGTAGCTATATAGCTACCTGTCTATATATCTATTGATCTATATACCTATTTGCCTATCTATCTATCTAAACTTATAGGCTACCTTAGTAAAGAAAAGAAAGAGAAGAAGGATAGAGAAGAAGGAAGAATAAGAAGAAGAACTAGGAGAGGAAGGAATAAAAGAGGAAGAAATAGAAGAGGAAGAAATAGAAGTAGAAGAAGAACGAGGAAGAGATAGAGAATATAACAAGATTAGTATATATATTCTATACTACTAAAATACAAGCCTATAGGCTCTACTAGACTTATATATCTAGTAGTTTCACAATCTTATTTCTAAGAAAACATCTGTCTAGAGGTCTATATAGTCTGTATAGGTCTGATGCTACGCTCTAGGCAGGCGGGAAGTACGTGGGTTACGTCACTAGGATTGATAAACCGTAGCGAGCTGTTGCTTCAGCTCATATATCTTTCGACATTCCACTCGAAGGAAGGCCTTGCTATTTGACGCCCGATCCGTTTCTACTTATGGAAGTACTCACGGTTATTTGTGTCAAGTAACACAACGGAGCTTTCTTAGCCAGTGCAAGGCATCTCTGTAGGCCATACGCATCTGTGCAAGCGCCTGTGTAGCTAGATGAAGTGCTCTGCACCAATCGCAACTCGTTCAGGCCCCCTGTCTTGAGACGCGGATGCAGCCGAAATATGACGCTACTGGCGTCACGCGGATGAAATTAACCAGGAAGCAGGTGTGGAGCTTGTTGACTCGCGACGGGAACTGGAGATATCCATCAAATGTGGAACAAAGAGCATTCTTATTGTTACTGTGCCTATGAAAGTGACAGAAGCGTATCGCTGTGTGCGACTTTGATACAGCGACCAGTGTGTCTGCAACTGTGGATACCAACGCACCAGGTAGCGAGCGGCATTTCACTTGCTTACCTTATAAAAGTGAGTCGCATTCCTGATTGTCGTCCAGAGCAGCAGCAGCAGCAGCAGCAGTCTTCGCTCACCGTGCCTGCCCTCATTGTCCGACCCTTCCTTGCTTCTTTTTGTTATCCGTTTCTCCTCAAATCTACTGCCGTATCCCCGAGTGTCTGGTACACCCGGCTTACCTGTAGCATCCATCTATCCATCCATCTACCCATTCAGCTTGCTTTCCACCAGCACCTCACGATTAATTGGTAATTCATAATACACATCAATCGCGATACAGCACAGGATATCCTCTTCCAGTCAACAGCCACCACTCCACGATCGCATCATATAGCACAACCCATACCACCAGGATGGGCATCGTCGACGGCATCCGGGATGGACACGGCGGCGTCGTCGGTGGAGTTGCACGCCTCACCCTACGATTTCTCCAATTCGTCATGGCCCTCACAGTTGCCGGCCTGTATGGCGTGGACCTCCAGCGCGGCCGCAAAGCTGGCGTCGCAGCAGACGGGAAATGGGTGTATGCAGAGGTTGTAGCTGGATTGTCCGCCGTGACCATTCTGATCTATGCCATCACATTCGCCATGGACTTCCACCACTTTTGCTTTGCCTGGGACTGTATCCTGTTGTGAGTCCCCGAGCCTGCTCCCTTCAGCTTTCTCCCTTCTGATGCTGATGTCATGTGCGCCCAGCATACTGTGGACCGCACTCTTTGGTCTCTTCGGCAAGATCTATATCCCCGCAAACCCCACTCCCGAGCAACACGGCCAGCAGAGAATGAAGAGCGCGGTGTGGGTGGATCTGGTGAACATGCTGCTCTGGTTCATCACGGCCATTTGGTTGACGGTGCGCTTCCTGACCCGTAATCGACGAACTTTGCACACCGGCCGCGCCATTGTGTAGAATGGTTTGGATGCGAAGCTGGCGAGTATGGAGGTGGGCAAGGTCTGATGAAGAGGGTTGGAGAGTATACTCCTGGCAGACATGGTCTGCTCGAGGGCGAATACGTGGAAAGATGGATGGATTGGATCGAATGGGCAGGACGAAGGCCGGAGGAGCGTGGTTTCGAGGAGTGCATTGTCATTGTCAGCGAGGAATTGTGATACCCCAGCCTGTGCTTCGCCGTTGGTCGCGTCTCGTATGCTTTGCCCGAGGTCGTCGTATTTCGTACTGCTACCTACCTAGATGCTCAGTACCTTTATTAAGCGTGATTGGTCCATTCTCAAATTCCCAGTCCTCGTCCTTGATCATATAGAAGAACGATGAGGCGGGGACAGTTGCCTAAGGTCCATATATGTATGGAGAGTGATTGTATGACATGAAGTCAAGAAGGTATTACCTATCTTCACCAAGGATGACGACCTCCTATTTGGTGCCCTCTGCCAATATGCCGTGGAGCCGCTCAACTCGGAGGTCGTCAGCGTGCCAAGACGTCTGCAGCGACGGCGGAGCTGGAAGTGAGGGACTTCGCGTTTGAGGGAGAGCACTCTACCTCCTACAACAACGCCGTGACGCTACTGCAAATACTGCTGCTCCTGCTACTCCCACCACCACCACCACCGCCATCTCGTTATCCTCCTCCGCCACGCCCACACCGACGACCATGTGGAGGTAGACAGCACCGTCCACTCCCACGGCATGCGGATTGTCGCTCGCTTGCAATGTTCCTCTCGAACCTGGTGCAGCGAGCCCAGCAGCTGATCGATCCCGCTCAACTCCCCGGTCCTCTCGCCAACTTCAACTCGTCGAGCTCTGGAAAACCATCCAAGGCGCAGCTGTTTCGACTTCAATTTAGAATCCCTGAAACGCAGAACCCGCTCTACGAAATCACCGCCGAGCTCACTCTTCCAGGCAAGAAGAAGGGCAGCACGTCAAAGTCGCAGCCCGGAAATTGGGATAAGGACAATTGGGATCGCGAGCGAGGCACGCACTATGTGGGCCAGTTGCATCTAAGCGAGCAGTTTCTCTGCTTCTCTACCGTCCAGACGTCCTTTGTGAGCACTGCCAGCACGAGTGCGAGCAGTGGCTTCACGGGGAGAACACATGGGACAGGACCAGCTGGCAATGGTTTCACCTTACCATTGTGCGCGGTACGGAGAGTCGAAAGACTACATACTCAGGCCTTCCAATTCGCGTTGGCTATCACCACTTGGAATGGCTTCGAGGCTGGAGGTGATGGCACACCCGGTGCTCCAGCTCCGCCGAAGCTGACTATACAACTTGAGGGCAGCCGCCAACAATGCGATCGCTTCTGCGATGGCCTCAAGAGGGGTCTGAGGCAGGGCATCAAAGACGTCGATAACATGCGAATGGTCGCGCAAGAGTGCTATTCAGAATACTTTCTATACAATGAGTTCGAGGACACACCAGCAGAGACGAAGCCAGACGGCACAACTCGGGCTCCGCCGGATACCGGATTGGGCAGCATATTCAAATACCCAGGCAATGCGCGAAAGCTGCGTGATAGGAGCAAAATGAGGCTGTGGCATGAGTATCTCAAGGAGAATGGGCGCAATACGACGCTCGTGCGACAGCCTGATTTCCACAGATTGATACGTGTTGGACTGCCCAATCTGCTGAGAGGCGAGATTTGGGAGCTCTCTTCTGGATCATTCTTCCTTCGATTGCAGAAGCCGAAAATGTATCAAGAAGTACTAGCTAAGCACGAGGGCGAAGGCTCGCTAGCCATCGACGAGATTGAGAAAGACCTCAACCGCAGCCTGCCCGAATACGCTGGTTTTCAAAGTGAAGAGGGCATTGGCAGGCTGCGACGAGTATTGACTGCGTATAGCTGGACGAACACAGACGTCGGCTACTGTCAAGCGATGAACATTGTCGTGGCAGCATTATTGATGTACGTAAGTACACCCCTAGTAGGCGTGAACACAGCTAAGTCATCTCTAGTTATCTTTCAGAAACACAAGCCTTTTATCTGCTCTCCATCTTATGCGATCGCTTACTACCAGGCTACTACTCGACTACCATGTATGGGACTCTTCTCGACCAGCGAGTCTTTGAGAGTCTGGTCGAGAAAACCATGCCGATCATATGGGACCATCTCGTCAAAAACGATGTCCAACTGTCGGTGGTGTCGCTGCCATGGTTCCTGTCACTATACATCAACAGTATGCCACTCATCTTCGCCTTTCGCGTGCTGGATGTCTTCTTCCTGGAAGGGCCGAAGGTGTTGTTTCAGGTCGGTTTGGCGATTTTGAGAATCAATGGGGAGGAGCTTCTCGACGCGACGGACGATGGGACGTTTATCTCGGTCCTCAAGTCATACTTTGCAAGACTGGGGGAGTCGGCACATCCGACATCCGAGAACCCAAAGCACCGGGCTATCACAAACTTCCAGGCGCTCATGGTCGTCGCCTTCAAGGAGTTCGAGGGCATTACACAGGCCACGATATCCGAGCAACGTACCAAGCACAAAGACGCTGTGATGCAGAACATCGAATCTTTTGCGAAGCGAACGTCGATACGGAATCTAGGTCCAGAAAGCAAGAAGCTGTCCGCTAATGACCTCGGCTTCCTGTATGACAGATTTTACAGCATTCTTTACGAAAGACAGCAGCGAGCACAGATGATACAGGCCGAATCAGATCGACGAGCGAAACTTGCAAGACAGAGAGCAAGCCAATTGGTGACTGGCGTGCCTGGTAATGTGCCTGAAATGGGGCGAGTAGCACTAGGTGCAAGCACGAGCACCATGGACTACGATGCGTTCAGAGAATTCTTGGCTGGTGTCTCGAGATGGGCGCTCACGGATTCGCCTAGCTCGCCCGTCAAGGACGGCAACAGTAGCAGTGGCTACTTCGGCAGCTCATCACGAGGCAAACCGCCCAACTTATCACCCTGGGGAACAGGACCGGAACCTGCCGATCACGATTTCATGCGGCGATTGTTTGGTAAATGGGATGTAGATAGCAATGGGTCCCTATCACTCCAGAACGTCGTGGTGGGCCTCGCGCCGATCAAAGGTGGGCGCGATATCATGGCGAACATCGCGTACTTCTTCGAGCTTTACGACGATGACAAAGATGGGAGGGTGGATAGAGAAGGCATTTTGCGCATGTCAGAAGCGCTCTTGTTTTTGGCTCGCCGGGGACTGGAGGGCGCCGATCTCGTACAACATCATGCCGATACAGGCCCTGATGGCATCCCACTATCCAAGGATGAGCAGTTCTTATCGGCAGTATCATCGTTCATTCGAAGATGCTTCGAATATGCGGATCCAGATCATCCGTCGCGACAGGGCGAGAAGGACATCAGCGAAGCTGCCAACGCCGTTGCAGACATCAAACTCAGCGAAGACAGCGAGGAGGAAGATCTGCTTGTCGACGAGAAGGAGCTGAAGTCCACTGACGAGGATCCGTTGGCACAAGAACCAGCGCCCGAGACCACAAAGATAGCGGGGAACTCTCTGCCGGCACGACCTTCAATCAACACATCTGGCCAGACCGCGAAGCCCAGAGCTGTCGCTGCCAACGCGGCTCTCGACCCCTCGAGCCCAGTACACATCACTCTCCCGACCTTCCGTATGCTTGTGTTAGCAGACGAGGCGCTCGAATCCTTCTTCGACTCTGGTTTTGCCAACTCTTTCCATCTAGCGGACGCACCTCTGCCTTCCACGGCGCTCACCTCGCCATCTTTTCTCAGCGTTTCGAGCTCGACGCCCGGCAATGAGAGGCAAAATCTGCGGATACCCACTCTTAGCCCCGGTGGTCCAGGTGCCGGAGTCGTGCCACCTGGCAAAGGTTTGCGAGGCATGCTCGATAACATCGTTTCGGATGGTATGCGAGTGGCGGCTGAAGTCAAGAGGAGAATGGATGAAGCCCAAAAGGAACTCGATCGTGGTGCTACTACCCGAGGCACTGAAGATGACGACGATGAGGAGGGTGAAGAGGGCGTCGGTGATCTTCTTGGTGGCGTCGAAGCTGATGCAGGCGCTGCAGGGACTGGCGATGCCGCGAAGAAGAGCTTGGAAAGCCAAGGAGGAAAGGACAAGGTCCCTGCTTCACTGCGGAATGAAGGCATGGCTGCTGAGCCGGTGAAGAGTAGTGGCGCGAGTGTCAAGAGTACGGATACTGGTGTTGTGAAAGATACCATGTTCGAGAGATAGATGTGGTGCTAGTAGTGCCACGAGATGCACACCTAGGTAATGAAGCAAATTAGTGATCAGTCTCGCTGAATCACATGATGGAGTGCTGGTGAAGGAGGAACATGTCGAATATGTCTTGAAATGTCTTCTCGACTTTGTGCCACCAGGTATCCTGCTGAATACGCATGGTGGACTCTGCAGAGGGAACGTGGCATCGGCCAACATTGCGGTCTTCGAATTCATTTGAAACAGCGCGTTGTAGGAACCAGGAGAAACTCCTAATCACCAAGCAAATCGGATGAACAAACGTGACTAAGTTAGGTATTTCTACAGTTCGGCAGGCATAACAGACATGCCTTGATCTATATAATCACCTCAACAATCTATCAAGACACAAAGCAGCTTCCAGACTCGGGTCGCGATCTGCCAGACCTTTCTCGATCTGATAGCAAAAAGAAGAGTCGTTAAGCCATGAACAGTCGTAAGCAAGTTGATGAATCCAATCATCTTTTTGGTCCCCAAAACGCCGCGCCTTCACATGGAACCATCGAACAGTGGCGATGAGGCATAACACTACGAGACATAGGCAGGAGGGGCCTCTTCCATAATTCGCTCTTCAGATGGCTGGCGCCACGCTTTTTGTTCCGCGCGCCCCTGCTCGACTTTCTTTGCAATCTCTGTTGCCATCTTCTCCAACCACGCTCGCTCTAGAATACCGCCACTGCCGCCTTCGCTGAAAGCTGTCAATAGACTTTGTAGTTTGATATCGGAAGAGGTTCTGCTCAGGTCAGAAGAAGAGTGGCGAAAGTCGTAAGGAGGTCTGCGGCTGATTTCAGGTGAAGGTGAACGAGATGGAAAAGCCTGTGTTCGCACGGCGTTGTTGGCGGTGGTTGATGTCCTCGGGACGTTCTTTTCGTCCTTTTTTGGCAAGTACATTGAAGCTCGAGGAGTACGATCGAGGTCATCGTCAGGATGTGCGAGCGGCGGTAACGAGGTCTTTGGCGTACAGGGGCGTGATCTGGATAGCGGAGGCCGATCAACAGCTCCGTCTACATTGTCGGTATGAAAGTCAACTTTCTTCTTTGGACTTCGTGGCGGAGTGCTGATCTCTCCTTCTCGCGCATTGCCACCAATAGCGGAAGTCGCCTGTGTACCCGAGCGAACAACACTTGGTGAAGAGCCAGTCTGACTTGCGCTCTCATCATATCCACTAGTACCGACGCTTGCATTTTCCAGAGTATGACCCTCATCTTTATTCTTCCTGAGGTTGACTATCCGATGTTTTCTCTTCTTTGGTCGTGCTCGCGATCCCGAGCTACCCAGACTATATAGCGTTGCTGTAGACGCCATGCTGACAAGGCTAGGCCTAGTAGCTTCAGTGCCGCCTCCAGACGCGAGCGAAGTAGCTGACGACACCGTGCTGTGCGAAGCGATCGACGTGTGAAGTCTTGCGAGGCCTGGACGCGTGGAGGCAATTGTGCCACCCATCTCCTCACGGTATGTACCAGTCCATGCACGATATACTGTATCTCTCATAGCTGGCGTGAAGAGACTGAGTGTCCGCTGACTTTCGGCAAGTGTTGCCAACCTAATCATGTTCTTTTGCGAGAATGATGCATAGGTCTCGGTGGGCGGATCGAGAGTGAAGGGTGCTCCCATGGTTTCCTCGCCATCAGGAGTGGGCTGCAGTGCTGGACTGGCGAGCGGATCGACAGGGACTTCCCCAGGCGCAAGATCAGCCTTCCTTGGTTCCTGGTCTTCGGCCGTCTGATACTCGGGACGGAACTTTGACAAAGACAAGCGATGTATGATCGCAGGTAAATCCTCCATGAACAAGACGCGAAGCTGGTTTTCGATGGTCTTTTGCAGGTAGTCTCGGACAAAGGGTATCGAGTCAAACGTAGATGACACTTTCAGCTGCTCCAACGGATCATTCCTGAACACGATGGTGATGCCCTTGGATTTGGAGAAGACCAGAATGACGAAGCCCGACAGGCGAATCTCCGACAGGGTGATTTGGATGGGGATGGTCAGACTACTGCTCGCCGCCAACGGCTGAGGACTCGCAAAGCTGGGCTTGGTCGATAGATATGTATGGAGCGGATTTGCTTGTACCCTTGTTTTCAGCGTCAGATAAGCGTCTCCTGCATAGCTCATCTTGAAGATGCCTCTGAATCTGTCCTCGGCCAAGTCACCAATCTCCAAGATTTCCAACTCCGGCGGTGTCGCGCCCAAGTTCAACTCGTTGACAATGATGTCGTCGACAATGATGGGCGGTTTGGGCGATTTGTTCAGCGCGCTCGTGAGCATGTCGCGAACTCGATCGGTATCCGCAATGAGCGGCGACCAGTTGAAGTTGAAGGCCATTCTGGATGTGTTCTCGTCGTCGCCGTGGTTGTTGTTGTAGTCGTCGTCGCCGTCGTCACTCGCAGCGCCGGGCTGGTCAGCGGCGGAATGGACGGTCCTGCTGACGACGCAAGACAGCGGGTCGCGAGTCGCATGACAAGAAGCGCTGCTGCTCTCTTCCCCTCTCCCTCCGCCTCTGCCTCAGCCTCTGCTGCTGCCTCTTCCAATGGCAGTCGGTGGTTCTAGTATATGACGGGGATCAGCACGAGTCGAGTGCGACGGGATGTCGTTGGTGATTGTGAGTGGGTGTGGGATGAGTTTCGGAAGCCAGGAGCAAGTCGGAACTGGAAATCTGTGTGAAACAAAACAAGAGAAGGCCCGTCATCGTGCACTCCGGACGACGGCACTGCCGGACGGGACGGTTAACGCGCCGAGGAAGCCCACACCAGCGGATGCGCCAAGATATCGGTCACGTGACTGCGATGGGCTTCACTCTCGACATCTCTCGATTAACTAGACCGTCAGAGCACGAAGTGATTGATCTGCCGGTCTTCTGGTCGACATCATATCCTGCGAGACTGCTGACACGACACCCAGACCTGGCGCAACCCAAGCTCCTATACCCCTACCAGCGTCTTCATACGGCCAGGCACTATCGCCTCCACAGCCCCTACAACGACAATCGCAGTCATCTCCAAACAGCCTACAGCCACCGCATGAGCAGGCTGTGCAAGAAAGTGCGCCAATATCTCCCTGCGCTCGACTCCGTCCATATGGCCGTTTGCTTGATGCATAGTATGCGATTTAAGGTAAAGAAGGATGAGAAAGCGTGAGTGGCTGAGGGATGAGGACGGGGATGCACTTGAGTAGTTCATGAAGACTGCCAATGGGGTCACGGGTCTCACGGATCGTTGGCCCGATGTACGTTGAAAATGGCCAACTCCCATCCATTCGCTCTACCTCCTGGCGCAACAAGACCAGCAAAGTCTATTGCAGCTGACGCTCATCATTCCGCGGCCCCCTGCTTCTGCTATGATCAGACAAGACGGCGGACGCCTGGGGTCTTCTTTCTTGGACTCCAATCCGTCAATAGTCGCCGTATTACGGTATTGTTGAGTATTCCATGCTCGACTAACAGGGGAGACGGGCTCATGCTGGACTAGCAGAGTCTGGTTTTGCTGCTGCTTATTGGCAACTCTTGCACCTTTCATCTTTTTGCGCTCTTGAGATGACGAAAACCGCGCGGTCTATCGGAGCATGAAGAGCTGCTTGCTCTCTGCCTCGAGACACTTCTGCTTGGCAAAGGCGTTGCGGCAAGACGTTGGGCCAAGCAACCAAATCCAAACGCATGGCTGTATGGTCAATGCTTGGATCGCGATGGGCCAGGCGCAGAGGCAATAATGCATGCCACCGAAGTCCTCGATATAGAGGTGTTCATCTTTAGTGGTAGGTTATACCTTGCCAAGGTAAAAACTCGGTGCTTGGCGGCTCGCGCGCACAGGGGTGGGACTGCCCGGGCAGAATGCAAAACAACAGCGAATATCAGAGCGACAAATGCTGACCACGCTTCTGGCCGCAGAAGATCATGTGGCGATGTAATATACCTCCTAGCACGCTGAGAAGCAGAGAACCCTCCTCAAGCAAGGAGAGTTTCCTGGAAACATCGTGGCTGATCATCGGAGTGTGCTCCGCAGCATTTTCTCCCCCTATCACAGAGAAAATACCTACTCCTTCTAACAAACATGAACGGCCAGATGCACAGCCTGCGTAAGCACGGACTGCCAACAGTATCCGGGTATGAATAGGCATCGCGGTATATTCCTGTCATGCCCAGACAGCGACCACATATGAAACGTACCTCCTGGACTAAGTGAACGACGACCGCCGAGACTAACAGAATACCACTGGTTAGCAGCAACGGAGCCAAGTCTACTAAGAGCAACATCGCACATGGCCTTGTGCTCTAGGTCAGCTTGTGTCGACGACTATGGCTTGGCCTTACGCGTGTATACCACCAGCGTCACGACACAGCGCTGTGGTATATACATGATGGCGCTCTGCCTCTCTTTCCAGCATGATAGACGCCATCCGCCCGCATTTTCCTCCCTGAGCTGAAGTCGGCCACACGATCATTACTGACAGTCTTGATTTTCCTTCATTCCTTCTTCTGTACTAATACACACGATGGCGGACCATCAGCCACCACCGTCAATGCCGGCAAAGGCAGCCAGCATCTCGCACTCAGAGAGACGTGCGAGCAGCATGGAAAGCATGGAGTGAGTAAGGCGGGTACGATGGCTACATTCGTGCAACACGCTAATAGCAGACTCACAGGTCTTCGTCGTCGGACACCAGCCATACAGCAAGACCACTTCTTCCACAAAACCTCCACGAGGTCGCAGCCGCGAGAGCGACCCGAGCCTACCGATATCTGCAACACATCATTTCGCCAACCACAAGCGCCACCAGTTCCCCCCGTAGTTCAGCTTCTCGAACTGCTTCATACGACGGCCTAAGGGGGATCGCTTGTCTGATCGTGTTCAACTTTCACTTTCTGTACCCATACACCCGAACCATCACACACGGATTCGCCGTCGACCTCGAAGACCGCAACTGGCGACATCCGCATCAATTGCCCATCCTCTGCCTCCTCGTTCGCGGTCGAGCCATGGTCACACTCTTCTTCGCGATATCCGGCTATGTTCTGAGCTATGCGTTCTTGTCTCAGACTGAGACCCAACTCATGAAAGGGTTTTCCCGTCTCAGCTCACTGAGCCTCCGCCGATGGATGCGTCTATATCTTCCCGCTACGATCAGCATGGTCTGCGTATTCTTTGCGACTTTCATCGGCGCATTCGATCAGGGTCGCGATTTTCAAGATTCATCTCCCTGGCTGACAGGACTGTGGGAACAACATCCCCCTCGCTTCGAGAACTTTGGCAAGCAGATGAAAGACTTTGCTTCGATGTGGTGGGACTGGTCCACGCCTTTCCAATGGAGGCTCTTTTATAGCGAGTACGATCCGCATACGTGGACGATTCCCGTCGAATTCAAGGCGTCGATGGTATTGTTTGTGATGCTGCTCGCATCCGCTGGTCTGAAGCAGCGATGGCGCACTGGACTCTTCGTCCTCGTCACGGTATACTGTCTTGTTTCCGCGCGATGGGACGTTGCGGCCTTTACTGGGGGCGCTCTCGTGGCGGGTATCCACCTATGGGAGACGCCGAGAAGCGTTGGCGACGAAGAGAAGGCTGCTCTGCTGCCAACGCATCGCACGGAACCGGGCTCACCGGCACGAGTGACTCGGATCATTTCCGTCGTGTCCAAGACTCTGCTCCTCGTTGCCGCTCTATACGTCCTCTCGTTCCCGGACGACAGCGCTGATAAGACTCCCGGTTTTGCGTGGCTCTACAAGATCACGCCATCCATGTACAAGAAAGGTTCTGCGCCACACCCGTACATGTTCTGGCACAGCTTGGCTGGTTTGTTCGTGATCTGGTCCGTTCAACGACTATACTACGTCAACGCGGTCTTCTGCTTATCCATACCACAATACTTTGGCAAGATATCCTTCGCATTCTACTTGGTGCATGGGCCGCTCCTCCATTCGGCAGGCTTCGCGCTACAGCCCAAGATCTTTGCTGCGGTGGGGAGTAGCGTATCGGCATGGGTGGGAGCGTTGGTACTTGGGTGGATGACGATGCTTGCTTTGTCAGTGATAGCGGCACATCTGTTTTGGAAGCTTGTCGATATGCCGCTAGTGAGGTTTGCGAAATGGTTCGAGGCATTGGCATCACGGCGCTCTGGGGTTACTGCAACACTACTATAGAAGCGAAGCTGCGTGCATGAGCACCTGTTCCATCCCACGCCTTGCCCCAGCCCATATATGCTGTGTTCGCTTGTTTCCTGTACTGATCTGAAGATCCATTACGATCCGCAGCGAACAGGTGTCCGAGAGCATCCTGCTGCTGCTGCTTCCCGCATAGGCCTGTTTGACTGAGACCAGCAGAACTACACACGACGGGGAACAAACGACCTCTTGTGCATCGAGTCTACACCGGACTGTCCTGGGCGCAGTTCCAGTAAGGGTCATTTGAATACCATGCTGATACCCCAAAAGAAACGCCAACCTTGCACCACAGTAGTGAGGTAGGTAAGTAGTCATAATGGCTTTGGGAATGCTACATGTAATGTACCTGGTACATACCTGTATACTGGATCACATGCAACACCAGACCTGCGTCTCTCTGCGGGCATCTTTCGTCAGGAACGTCGCTACGGATTTCTTTCCGGCCGGGATAATACAAATGGCATTATATGCGCATTATATAATAACCAGAGCTGCTTCTGACCTCACCTCGACCGTCTCCGCCAAGGCTACCTTACTGTTCATCTGGTTATGACCACCCGTACTGTTTTGGTCGCACGTACATTGGGTAGCATTGATTGAGTGCTGAACCAAATCCCAGCGAAATCGAACCCCGATTGAATGGTACAGCATCTGCCCGCGTGGTCCGCACAGTCAACACGGGATGTAACGACAACATAGCTTATTGTTTTTGAATCAGGCATCTCTCATGTATTCGGCAAAGTTGCGCTCCCAATCGCTTACGCTGCCTAGGTGGTCATGCCAGGTGTGTGAAAGGACGCACAGCGTCGGCGTGGCCTTGGGGCCAGGTGGTATGCAACGCGCGCGCTAGGCTACCTAGGCCAGATTCTGGACCATCTTCACGATAGTAGCACCACCTGCGACAACGCGCACCAACACGCGCCTCACTGACGGCAGCCTGCGACATCCTCTCATGTCTCGGGACTCTGCTTTCCCATCTTTGCCTTGCGAGCTCTACGCGAGCCCAACATGGAGGCTGTCGGCATCGCGCCGGGCTGCTGTCGCAGGATGCAAGCTGCAGTCACAGTAGCTTTGCGAACAGGAGTACAGGAGTCGAACGCGGAACGCCATGCATCGGGGGATACATGCCGGTGTCGAGGAGATCAGCGATCCGCGCAATGCACTCGGGGGCTGCGCGTACAGCCTCGTGCGACCATCGTGAGTGCGACCCATCGCAGCCCAACAGACAACAACAACTGCACAATGGCGACACGGAGGTCGAGAGAGGATAAGAAGACCGCTGTTCCCCAATGAGAATGCTAGGTCTGCTGTCTGCCTATTTCTCTCCTCCTCACAGACACCGCCCAGAAACACAGCATCCCCGTCGCTGGTCAGAAAGCACACGGTGATATACCAAGAGAAGAAAAAGAAAATGCCTTCATCCAGCCCTTCGTCTAGCTATCAGTACTCCAGGTCAGCGCTGCCAAAGAAATAGAAAGAAGAAAAAAGTCTGTCGAATGTGAGTCCCGATTGCTGACCCTCACTGCGTACGATACGGTACTTTCAGAGATCCGAGAGTCATCGATCATGCGGGATCCTGGGCCGACAAAGATCAGCAAGCCAAGCCTGCAATTCAACAACCAGAACTTCCGAAGAAGCAGAAGAAGAAGAATAATTCCAGCTCCTCGAAGAAAACGAAATGACATCCACGATGCGGTCTGATATACAGCTACGCGCCAGCAGCAGCAGCAGCTTCTTCTTCTCCGAGGTGTGAAGACGACCAACATTCGGCCCGACTGATGATGATGATGATGATGAGGATGATGAGGATAGACAGCTGTAGATGTGTCCAAGATTACCAACCAGATACCAAAAGAAAAGACCCTCCCTTTTTCCCGCAGACTCCAGCTAGTGATTCAAGAACCACTGCGTTGGGGCGTCGTCTATCATGTCTTCTTGCAGCCTCCTCACACAACCAACCCTGCAGGAGTTTGTACCAATAAAAAAAAAAATCTTACCCCCCGAAAGCAAGCAGACGTAGTACATGACGGCAAATAAATACATGCATGGGGCTGGCTGGCCGCCCGTCCATCCGGTGACCATCATCAGCCTCCATTTCCATGATATTTCCCGTTGAGCCGCCTTCTCCAACGTGGCAGCCGCCATGGGTTCCACTTCCTCGGGAACAGCTACATGTAGCTATTGGTATAATGGAAGAAAGTGTGGTATGTATGTGTGTGTGAGTGTGTGAGTGTGTGAGTGTGTGTGTGTTGCTCGCTTCTGGGGTCGAAAGGGTTGCGCGGTCTTCTCGCCGGAGCCATTCATTCCGCATGAAAGCATGAAAATGCTGAGATGTTGCGAAACAGTACCACTCTAAATGGAAGGATGGTTTTGCTGATATCACCTGGGATTTCTGTCCCCTTGGTCATGTATATACAGGCAAATACAGGTAGCTACCATACACCGATACAAGTGTCGTCTCCGCGACACTACTAGAGTCTAGCTAGCTGCGGAAAAAGGCGGAAAACGAAATTCCTCCTTGACATATATGTATATCACCGCTATGGCCTCCCGTAGTGCTCATTACCCGTAAGCTACTGACTCAGCAGGTCAAACGCCGACATCCATTTTGCCATTTTCCTCCACAATTTCCATGTTTTCCCTCTTCACTTGATTGTGGATTACTCACCATCACTTTTGACTGACTTCCATCACCTTGTGAACAAGTCTCACGCTAATGCAACCACTTTACGCGTACCTCGCATCTTCCTTGCTACCTACCTTACCGTCATATCTCATATCTGCTTCCCCTGAACGTGTGTCCACCACCAACACATTTGCGCACGACGACTTCTGCTCTGCTCCAAACGCGTCCCGTCGCATTGCAGTGATGCGATTGGAAGATTCCCCAACGCGACTGTTACGCAGAGTTCGCGATGATGACTTCGACTCCTAGGTCATCTCCCTATCGTGGAATGAGGAGGCTGGATGCCCACCTCGCTTCCTATTCGTACCCGTTTCTCCTGCCTGCCATGAGGAAGATCGGTGAGACAGGCCGGAGTCGGCGATATTCTGAGAGCTGAAGTGTAGTGCTTGCTATATACCTCCGCCGCACTCCCTCCCCATCCCATGATCGAGTAGTCTGTTGTTTCAATCTCTCCCGATGACACCTCTGCACTTGGATGAGCACGGTCCCAATGGCATCTTCCCAGCTATGGGCGCATCGCATTAGTGGCCCTTTTCTCTCGAACCTCGTTGCCCGGCGAACGATTTTCCTTTTCTTCTGTCGTAAGTGAATCTTTCTGAAGAATGTCCTCAGTCGTACTTGCAGTGGCACTCCTCCTCCGTACTCGCGAAATTCCACGACCAGCAAAACAGCTGAGCCAGATCCGAATCCGCAATCAATCGAGACTTCTGACTGCTTCGAGCGCGGAGATCGTGTGTCTTGCCAATGGCAGTTCTCGAAGTCACGGAAAGCGTGTGTACCGAGATAGTCATGCAGGAATATGGAGGACCTGAGCTGTTCTGCGGGTATGGATATGACCAAGGAACCCTCGAGGCCATGAAGCTGATGTTCTCGTTCATAGCGACACAGGCTGTCTGCTTTCTCAGCTCGGGTCGCAGTTCCCTACCGCCGTCTCCTCGCCCTGGAGTTTCTACTCTCACAAGTTACGGATGCGTCTGGTCTGCACCCCAGCTACCCTCTCTGTCAGAGGCATGGACTTGGTCAGACTGAGTGTGAAAGCCGAAGTCGCAGTACGTAGCTTCCTATCTGCTGGCAAAGAGCGTTATAAACAGGCTGACCGTATCGACAGACGTGTCGAAGACGTATCGCCATGCAAAGGTGGTTGGATGATGATGATGATCGAACATCCTTCTGGATCAATCAAGGTGGCTATCGGGTGGCTCCGGAGAGTAGTATCGCTGGTGGCGTGCGGATTGCAGATTTGATGTCCTGGATGACGAAAGCGCGGATACGAAGCAAGAGGCAGAGGCTGATCGCCTGGGGATCCCGATACAAGTCCTAAGTAGGCAGCGTTGACGAGACTATGCGGAATCGCACTTCGCCTACGCAGCCCTCACCCCTTGACAATTCTGGTCCTTCCTTTCTTCCTCTTCCTTCTTCGAACACAGCATTGTCGCGCTTTGCGCACTGGCTACACAGCGCAAGACCGCTGCAGCGCTGATGGTGTCAGGACATCCAGCCAGCACCTGTAAGACAGGTGCGTGGACGGATTGACCGGTGTGCATGGCCGCCAAGTACAGACTTCTCGCATATGCTGTGCAATCTATTGCTCGTCATTGTTATTCGGCCTTGTGGGCTTAAGCCGTCTGACACATCAACATCTTCCGCGTTACGGAGTATGATCCGGGGCTGCACAGGCCAGCCAGCGTGGTCTCGTGGGAGGCGATGTCGCTCACCGTGCCGAATCTTCAGCTGGAGGACATGCTGATGTGCTGGAGCGGCCCTGCATCCATCGGCGAACTGATGGCCCCTGCAAGACATGCTGCTGTAGCGCTCTGCTCAGCCGTTCAAAGGCTCTGCTGGCTGGGGTCGTGATTCGTCGTCCTCGCCGCTACTCCTGCAGTGGCTTGTAGCGGTCAGTCCGTTCGCAGAGAGATACAAGCACGTCGATGAACGTGAAGCCGCTCCGGAAACACACGACCCTTCTCTGGGCTCTCAATACATCTTACATCGGGCGCGTTCACGAGCCAGCAACCAGGCTACCCTTTCACCGCTGGTCAGCACACATACTCCTTGTGAGTGAAGTGCCAGCGAGCTCATTCGTCAATCATGATCGTCGGGTCGATATCATGATGAAGAACGAGCACGTAGGATTTGTGCTGCGCAGGCATCAAAACCCACCAAGACCTCGCCTCTTTGGACAAGAAGTCAAAACGCCGCTCTTGAGCTCGCCGAAGCACAAGACTCGCAAGCCAGTCGTCAAGACTTGATGAGCACATAATCTTCTTACTGATCTCATGACAGCCATGCCATCGGACCAAGCCCCAAAATCCCCAACGAAGATCCTGCCAGTACTCTGGACTGACGACTCGTATGCTTTGGTATCTGTACTTGGTTTCGCAGGCTGATTACACATGGTGTATCAAGGACTGACGCCTTCCTGGGAGGAATTGGCGCCCAATTCAGCGACTATGTGGACCGCAGAGTGAACAATCCCGCAGTCACTCTCCCTCATGAAGTGATTAAATCGCCACCAGAAAGCATGCCAGTACATGTATGTATGCCGTGCGTTCGTTGATCTGTGGCAAGTGCTGATCGACCAAACAGAAAGCACATAGCATAGTAGCAATCCAGCGCTGGTTGTCGTGTCGGGAGGATGAAGCATGGTACAGAAGGAGCTGTGGAGGGTGAGCCTGACGTGGCGGTGATGGCTGATTTGTCTCGTCCTGCCTTTTCGAATGGAATGCTATAGAATTCGTTGTTAACAGCCTGAGGTGTAGGAGTAGGATGTCCCCAGCTTTTATTCTGTCCGCAGTCACGTGCTAGGGCTTCCCTCTCCCGCAGTCGACGTAAGACCCATACAACCACCTAGGTATATATCCACAACAGCGTTGCTGACTCCAGTCACAAATCTTTAAGAGCATTATTGATTGGTTTCCTGCAACTTCCTTGATTACAGGTATGATTACATATCGTGACTAGTATACAGTACCGTAGTAGCAGAAACAGCTGCAGTTTGCATGTCGTCGTGAAAAAAAAGCCGTAAGCCTGTCGTAAAGTCGTTCGTTCCACCATGCCATTCTTTATCTCGCATTAGGACAGCACCCATCGAAGTAATCAAGCCAAAATGGCCATTAGGAAGTGATGCGAGCTTTTCCTGCCGTCCGGATCTACCGCCATGGTCGTCGAGAGGTGACGACATCTCTAATGCTGCCACGTCGCTTCACTGCGACACCTCGCATTTGTTGTGTATCAGACGCTGAACCATCTGATTGGTCTTTCTTTTTGGTGCTGTTGCTACGTCGGAATAGCGAGCGTCTTTCTCGCTCTGTTCCAGCAGCTGATGCTGGCCTGACCACATTCATATCCTTCAGAACCTTTATCGGTGGCTGCGGTCTGATCTCGCGACTACTGGGCGGTCTAGGCATGGTGGCACCGCCATTATTTCGTGGAATGCGGTCAGCGTGGCTTGTCCGAGGCCTTGGCGGACCAGAGTTGGCATATGCAGACGAGGGAGTCGATGTCAAGGTCGGCAGAGGTGATCCTTCGCTCAGCATCGTGTTGCTCAGACGCCGGATGAATTTTGGCATCTTTTTGCTGAGCGTTCGTGCTGGTGAAGGGGATGTGCGGCTGCGCGGAGATGTCACCGCAGTCGCGCGGGACGCTGCTGGAGAGAGTGTTCGGCTGGACTGCTCGTCACCCAGCGTGACAGTGCGATTGCCAGATGAGTTGGAGCGTTGAGAGCGAGCGGATCGTGGGCTGACCACGCCTTCAACTGAAAGTACACCATCCTCATGGCATGGCTGCGCACTCACGCCTGACTTCGCAGGCTCACCAATCGTCTGTTGGCTGGACCTACGCCGTCCGGGCGCCGGAGGCTTCAAAGTCGGGGATATGTCGCTGTGGTTGAACATTACGTCGGCGGGCGGTCGTGCGTGCGACTGAAACCTCCTGGGAGTGCCCATCGTGATCGATCCGCCATCGGGAAAGTCATCGTACGCGAACGTACTATCCTTTGATTTTTCGCCACAAGGGGGCTCCTGGCGAATGTATTCTTCATCATCCGAGCTGTCCTCCTGTCGGTGACCATCTAACGCAGTGCTGCGGAACTGCAAGTTACTGTTATATGCAGTGCGTAGCTCAACCGACGATCGCATCTGTCTAGGCGCAGTGCGCAGTCCCGGCTCGAGGGTGCTATAATCCTTCACGAACGCTGGGGTGGTATCAAGCAGGCTCTTGTCCTTGCCGATAGACGAATGCGACTCTCGAAGCATTCTTGTACTGACACTGTCCGGTGTGGGCGGCATGTGAAGCTCGTTGACTGGATAGCTCACAGGTCGGGTGCGAAGTCTGCCTGACTTTTGCTTTCGCAGATGATGCTGGTGGTGCTCCCGGTCGACATCAGCTGGTGGCGCCGGCGCAGCCACTGGCTCCACACCTGACGATAAAGCATCGTTGAGTGACTGATACGGGCCCAGTGAGGAGGCAGAGCTGTGGCGACCAGACTCGTCCTGTAGAGGTGAGGATATGCGATTCGACTTCGACGGCGTAGCTTCGACAGCATCGCGGGCCGACATCCACTGACTGACGCGCTTGATGCTATCCTGTCGCATGTGTGCTGGACATCCCAGTGGTGCAGGCAGTCCTCCTGCTTCATCGGCTACTTCCCAATCGTACCTATCCGGGCTGAGGTCTTTCTTCGGGCTGTAGATGGATGGGAAGCTGCTCTCACTGAGCACACTTAATCGAGGCGAGATTGACAGATTGTCACTGTCTTCTTCGACCTTATGATCCTGTCTTTCTAACAGAGACTGGAAGCTCTGCACAGGGCGCAGTGACCTCGAGTTTTCCATATATACGCTGCGTAGGGCATGGGTGCTGGGCTGTCTGGAACTCAGGACAGAAGGCTGCCTCTTAGGCTTGGCCGTGGCCTGCATGTTCAAGGCATCGTGGAGGTTGTGTGAGGCAGCAGATGCCTGAGCGGAGGGCGGCTGAGTGTTGACGACGGCGGCCTTGGACGCCACAGCAGGTCGCGGAGGCGACCCGCGCGAGTCCTGGTCCAGCGCTTCCGTTCCAGCATAGCCTGAGTCTGCATGCGCTGTGGAAGGTCTGGTGTTGCTGCTGTGTTCCTGCAGCTCGCCCACTTGATCCTCCAGATCGCAAATGAGGTCCATCGCTTCCTCGACGGCCCTGTCGCGCTTCTCCAACTCCTGCACCAACTCGCTGTTGATGCGCAGCAGTTCCTTGTGCTCATCTTCCATGAGTAATGCCCGCTCGACCTGATCCTGCATGGACCCCATACGCTCTTGCAACTTCTGCGTCTGCTCCCTCCGGTGATCGAGCTCCAGCTTCAACGCAAAGTTTTGTTTTTGCAGACGATCCATTTGTTCGTCCATGTCCCGCAAGCCCACGGTGCGCCGCCGCGGCCGGTCGCCGTTTTGCTGCGTGCCCGCATCTGAGGCTCTGCTACTGGCAGCGACGAGCGGGGAGCTGTCGTACATTCTGGTATCGCGCGTTTCCCGGGCTTCGGCGAAGAAGATGTCGTCGTCGCGACCTCGTGGGGACTGGGGCCCACAGTCCGTGTGGCGCGCCCGTTTGGGTCGCAGCTGTCTCGCGCGTCGCTCGCTCAGACGCTCCTGGAGGTACTGGGACGCAGGTAAGACATGCATGCCACGTTGGCCCAACGGGCTGCGCTCTGGGTCATCATAGAGCGACATGCTGCCGGCGGGCATGTCATGTGCAGACAATCGATGAGAGCGGGGTGTTGGACGGCGAGATTCGGTGCATCACGAGCGAGCGAGTATGTTCCAGAGTTCCAGAGGGCAGTAAGGTAGGAAGGAAGGTAGGTAGGTAGTAGGTAGGTAGTCAGGTAGTGGAGGCAGTGGGTGCCTGGGGGCGATGTCGTAGGTGTTGCTGACGGCACCGCTGGAGACGCCGCACAGGGTCGTGGTGGTGAGACGGCAGAGGTGGCGAGGTGATGCGCGCTGTTGCCTGCGTGTGTGTTGTGTCTTGGATATACCTCCCAGGCGGGCTTGTCGGTGGTCGATTCGTCGCGGTGGCTGGTGGTTTCAGGTACCAGCAAGACCGGAAGGCACAGCAAGAAACCTAAGGCTGTCCTGTGCAGCGCGGGCAGTCGGCAGCTTCTCCAGGTCTCAGATCCCACTGCTACTGCTGCTGTTGTTGTTGCTCTCTGCTCTGCGCTCCCTCTGAGCACTCTCTCCACTCTGCACCTCACTACCAGTAGCCAGTAGGTACATGTACTCCTTCACGGCAGTCGGAGGGGTCTCATGTTGGCCGCTGGTACAGTAGGTACCTGATGCATGTGCACGTGCTATGTGGGTGCATGGAGGTCACAGTCAGGTCCCATCAGTTCAAGCAGGGATGGGATGGAATGGGATGGGATAGAAGAGAGGACAGCCTCCAACGGCCCTACAGCAGCGCTGATGAAGGCGCGTGCGTGACAATACTAGCTCTAGCATACTACCTCCTAGGAGCGGTAGGCTACTGCACGCTGCCGCCGTGCACAAGAACACGAGAGGGCCAAGACTTCATTCGATTGCCCCAAATTGTGCATCCCAGACAAGCGAGACGCCCTGAGGCCCACTCACAACTGGAAGACTTTCCACTAATTCACTGCAGAGATGCCGCTGTCGGCGAGCCGAGCGGACCTGAAGCCAATTCCTCCCTCCGCGCTGTGCTATTCGTCCTCCTTTAAGCCACTGAGCTCGGCACGTCCTGACCTCACGCCTCGACATTTTCTCATCGTGATCCCTCTCCTCTCACTAGGAGGTAGGAGGTACTCTCTCTCTCTCTCTCTCCACTATGACCCATGCTCGGCCATTTGCCGCTGTCGGGCTGGCTCATGTTCGTCAAACTGGCTCACGATCTAACTAGACGGTGCTACTGCTGTTCCTGCAGAGAGAGGGCACAGTGCAGTGCAGTTTGTCGATTGTCATACCTCCTAGGAGGTAGAGGGAAGCGCGTGCTCGTGCGTGTACTACCGCTCGCAGACAACAGTTGGAGGGAGTGCAACGAACGCCCCTGCATGGAGCATGGTCGCTGCATGATAAACGCAGCCGCGCCGTTTTACTTTTTCTTCACTGGATGAATGTGATCCTTTTTTTTTATTACCAAGCCTACTGCCTACTGTTTCCTTCGCCGGCCGGACAGCAGAAGCTTGTCGGCGAGAACCATCAGTGTCATCACACTAATGGAGATGCAATACGAGCGTTGCGTGCAAGCAAACCGAGCGGATCATACGCCACATCGTCAGCGGCCATAACATGTCGCCTCTTCTGCTTGCATATGGCCGGACTGCACGAGCAATAGATGTGCATACGGATGCGGATGCGATTCTGCAGCTGGCTCCAACAGTGCCGGCATAATGGTTAAAATGCGGAGAAAAAACTGTGGTAGAATCCGGCTCCACGGCCTGAAGCTGAGAAATTCCGCCAGAATGCGGGAAAATTTCGCAGCGGGCGGTGTCCAACGGCGGTCGCAGGGGAATCCATTCCGTGATAATCACACCTACCTCCTAGGAGGTAGGTACAGTAGGAGGTACTCAGGCTACTCTCCTGCTCAACATGCCTCTTCCTTGCCTCATATACATGATATACTACGGTATCTGATACTCCTGAGTCCTGATGAGTGAGTACGATCCTTCACGCCGATCGAGCTCGACACTGCGCCGCACTCACACTATGTCCTTTACTACCATGTACGGTACGGTGGGAATAAGGACCGCCAATGTGGCCAAGGGCAATGAATAATCACATATCATGTCTGCCTTTGATAATAAAAACCAAGAGGAATGCGTACCTCCTAGTTGTTGTTGGTACAAAGAATTCAATACAGGTACTTGGGTAGTGCCTGAGTCCTCAACTTTCGGCACGGAGAAACCATTCCTCCGCCTGGCTCACAGCATTGACAGCACCTCACTTCCCGGCTTGACATTGTCGCTTGCACGCTCCGCCGCAGTCAAAACGTCGCATTAATGAGGTGGGCAAGTCTCCATATTGGTAATCACAGCAAATCACACTGTGGCTCGTTTTGGGGGATAAGAAATAACAGCGGGTACGTTCGGCCGGCAACTTTTTCTGCGAATTTAGTAAAGTTGACTAAATCACCCAATTGCAAACGACATGAGGTTCGACAAGCGGTGTTGGACTGCTCTCTCTCCTCTCGCTCCACTCCCGATACTGCCTTCTCATCGCGCCTTCTCCCATCAGACTGTGCAGATCCCATATCAAGTGGCCACTCTTCAATTGCTCTCTGGGCCAAGCCTTGCGATCGTAGCGAGTTAGCACTGGTTCAAGCATCTCAAACCTGAAAACTCGCCGAAGCTGTGACCTACCGTGGCGGGCCTATTCCTTCTCGACAGCCGCAAGGTCTTGAGTGTAGTATTCGAGTCGATAGTTTCTAAGATTAGGATCGTCCGCCACCGCCTCCCGCCTCTTCTTCTCGCCTTCTGCATTGGCTTCGCGACGTTCTGAGGGAACAGTTAGTGAGCTCAATATTGGCACCAGGCCGCGAAGCTAAACCCATACCAACAACATTAACGCTTGCTGTTTAGTGTTCGTTAGTATATGCGTTCCACACGTTGTGCCAGCGATTCGGGATAACATCAAGAGCAGACGTCATTGCGTACCTGAATCGATGGGAACTGCAGCTGCGAATACGGACCCAAACGCCAGAGACATAATGATGGCCAATGCGGACTTCATCTTGAGCTTGGTGACTGAGAGTATGTGTGTGATGCGAGGTTTGTATTTGCTAAGGTTGCTGGAATCCTGTGAGATGTCAGGCTCAGTATGCACCGGGAGGAGGATTTTATATGCATAAGAGAGGTCTGCAGCAGGTGGACACTCATGTGCCCTTGATTCACTCTCCGCCTCCGCATTTTGCGCAAGAGACCTGATGATCAGAATACACGAAAGCAGACCTTGTCGTCGGCCCTGGTTGTTGCGGAGAAGCTGGAGCTTCAAATCTGTAGAAGGTCGATTTCACCGAGTTGTGAGGATGTTCTACAGCTCGACAGATGATTCATTGCAGGTAACTTCCTACGAGTGGTACTCTCTGTTCCATGTCCATCTTATAATATGAAGCTCTCTCGACGATAAAATTTCACTAGACCAGAGTGGCACCCATCGTTCGGCGTTACCTGCACAAAAAGGAATAAAACGCCGCTTGTTCTGCATCAGGTCTGAACTACATAAGGCTGTTCACGATTGGGTAAGGTATACAAGCATTCGGGGCGCGCACGGATAGATACCCCGCAGAAGCGGCCTGAGCATGGTCAGGGCTGCGCAGAAGAGTTGGTAAACTTGGGTACTTTCCCACAATGGACGGGTATGCGTATGCCACGCGATCATATCGTGGCGTGCCCTGCTCTTGGAAGCATTGACAAGGGATGGAGTTGAACAATAGGGAGCCAGGTAGGTAGCAAACAGTCCAACGGATGTTGCAACTTCACATCTCGATATCGTCTTATTCTCCGTCGATCGATGCGATCTCGCTAGCTGTGCCTGGAGCCCCGCATATCAACATCGGTTGGTCGCTCATGGGAAGAGAAAGGAAGGATTCGCCGAACATGAACTGGATAGTTTCGATCGCCCGAATACCCCATGGGGTAGCCACATGGTGCAAAGGATCCTGTTCCCACAATCCATCGTCAACGCCCGCGTCTACTGCGCCAAAGACTTTCCCCTCCTCCCCCAATTATTCTACCACTCAAAGCGATTGAGCTCTCCTTTCAGGCAACTTTTTCGTCGCAGCCATGATGATCCCACAATTCAAAAAGCTCCTCTCTCAAGCGCTGGGAAAAGACAACCCTCATCGTTACTATGATTTGAACGAGGAGAAGGAGGAGGGGGAGGAAAATTTTGTACCCAATCTAGGCGATCAAGAGGGCTTCGTGGCAGAACAAGCAAGAACTGATCGATCGCGACTGGTAACATATGTCCTAGCTGGCATCCTCGTTTGTTCCCATGCAGCTGTTTGGTGGTACACGCGCCAGACGTATAGTGAATGGGATATCAACGATCCACAGTCAGCCTTCCTCGCTGGAATTGATCGGAGCCTGCATATGTCGAGAGACAATCCATTCGAGGCATACAACGCCTTTACCGCATCGCCCGAGGACTTTGGAGACTGGGCGGCAGAGCGATGGTGGGATATCGGGGCTTACGGTGAGCGTTACATACTCGATCGCAAACGGTTGCGACGGACTATTTCACACACACACACACACTCTCTCTCTCTCTCTCTCTTTCTGCTCTTTCTGACTTTCGACAGCGCCCACTCTGATTGTGCCAGAAAAGTACGGCGCAGACTCTGGTTTCGACAAGTCCAAGCATTCCTTTGTTACTTTTGAAGGCAACCCAGGTATCAGTCATGAAGGATTCCCCGCTTCATTCCAGATGATGCATCAACTTCACTGCATCGACTTTATACGCCAGGGTCTCTACTTCAATGTACAGTACTATCGCAACATCGGTGCGGTGGCTTGGATCGGCACAGAGGGTCATGAAGACAAACTCCAAATGCATCTATTACACTGCATCGACGTGCTCAGGCAAGACACCCTGTGCAAGGCAGATATGAGATTGCAACCATTTCTTCGATCGACACACGTGGTATTTGGAGACTTCAGAATTCCGCGCAAGTGCAAAAATTGGGCTGCTGTCAGAGACTTTGCTGAGGACCCCAACAACGGATATGGTGAGGGATCCGATACTCTCCCCATTGACCAACTGCACACAGTAAAGGTAAGTCTGTACTCGATCCACGAATACCGTACCTTATAGCGTCTCCTTGGACTCATGTATACAACGAGCTAAACGTGATGACACAGATGGAAGGTGTCGAACGCTGGCCCATCGACCGCCTGTGGAGAGGGCTCTAAAGCACGCAATAATGCTACGCTCTATACAGTTGAGGGTCGACTACATGGTCCCCGGCCGCCGAGCAAGATCTTGAGGGTGAATAGGGGGAGCTGATGGTTCGCTCTCTGTCTTGGCAGATGCAGTGGATATAGTTTCTGTTGTTCCAGTAGTAAACGTAGCCAGATTGCATACAAACACAATTGATTTTATCGTTGCTGCTGCTGTTGTTGTTGTTGTTGTTGTTGTTGTTGTTGTTGTTGTTGTTGTTGTCGTTGTCGTTGTTGTCTCTAGACAAGCAATTACCAAGGAAACCATCAGCCGGCGGTTCAGCCCGTTTCTCGTTCCGACAGCGATAATGTGTACGATGACGCATTCGTCAGCTCGTATTACCGTATAATCGTAGTGAACAACAGTAGAGATACCTAGGTAATAAAAATAGATAGATAGCTTCCATACGACCATACCTGTACCTGGTATCTTTCACCTCCCTTTGCTGATATTTTCATGTTCGTTTCCATATATACATACCATATTACAAAGTATACAAAAATTGGATTGTACAAACGCCATATCCACATCCAGCAGAAAGAGAAGAAGAATTAAAAAAAAAGAGAGAAAGAAGGGAAGAAATAAAAAAGTTTTACTCGCTACAATGGACTTTATCAAACGCAAACTCTCCGTCAAGAAGACAAGTCCCACCACCACCACCACCACCACCAACAACAACAACAACAATCACGCCCAACCCAAAGACCTCCTCCCCCCTCCCACCCAAGAAAAGAAAGACCACTCCCAACAATCCACCTCCACCTCCCCCCAAAGAACAAGAACCAACCCTCCCAAATATACCACCAGAAAAAGGAGAAGAAGAAGATCCGACGAACCCCCTTCCTCCTCCTCTTCCTCCTCCTTCTTCCTCAAACACGGCGGACCAGGCCTCAACGCCCCTGGAAACATCATCTTAGTAGCACCCCTTTCCCCGAGTGATGATCTTCCCAAAGGAAGTGACAGTAGTGGTGGTGGTGGTGCTGATGGTGATGGTGATGGTGCCTACGTGACGTCCACGTTTGGTTTTGCAACAAAAGATGTCCCACCGTTGCCTGAGAATGGCCATGTGCATGGAAATGGAGATGGAGATGGGAAGGGGGGCATGATGAGTGATTGGGAGAGGTATCGGGTGCGGACGCTGATGCTGGCGGGGAGAGCTGGTGGGAGGAACGGGAGGAGGGAGGAGGAGGAGGAGGGGGAGGGGGAGGAGGGGGAGGGGGAGATTTGACTGACCTTTGATACAGGACAGAGCAAGAGCGAGGAGAGTAGTGACTTTTGACTCTCAACAACCTAAAAGCGACCTGGAAGTAATCCAGCATCATATATATATACAGACAGCGCCTGTACGCTGAGCCCGTTTGATTTATACCCCGCTTTTCAATTTTCCTCTAGACAAACAAAGCAAACCCGCCCACCATCGTCATTAATTTTGATAGTCATCATCGTCTCGCATATCTCCATTTTGTACCGGATGACTCCTCCAATCCATGGCATTCCCTTGTCCAATCTCCATTCTCGTCGACGATTGGAAATGCGCTCATGTCCTGTTTCTCGTACTGCTTCACGCCCGGTCCGATATTCGTTCGCCTTCACGTCTACGTCAAAGTTTGCGACTCTCCGCTCGACACAGAAGGTTTCTTGATCATGGTATAGCCATCCTCACTACCATCACTACAAGTAGTGCCAGCAGAGCCAGGCGCCACCAGCACGGAGTTCCTATCGATAGGCACGCTGGCTAGATCTACCACTGCAGGGTGAGCTATATCAGGTGCCTGTTCCATCAACTGCCCCGATGAAGACACTGAGGCATCTGCAGTCGCAGCCGAGAAGATTTGCGTCTTCACATCGTAGCTGAGATGATCCGTGTGAAATGCCAAGAAAAGACCCAGCCACAACACTCTTGCGGCTCGAGATTTCATCATGTCTGCAGTCTCAATCGCCCTTCCGTCGTCCTCACTCTGGCAGTCGAAGAATCCGGGCACGAAGTAGAATTGACTCCAGATATGTCCACGTATAATGTAGTCCTCCGAAAGTGGCTTTGCACTTTCTTGTTGCTCCAAACTCATGAAAACTCCCTGACGCGCACACTCCAACATACGAGCCGTGATAGGGTCATGTTGAGCCAATGTAGTAAGGAACGAAGCAAGTGCAGCAAAATCCAACTGGCCCAAGTCGAAAGGAATGCGTGGCGTGTGTGGTGGGCTTTGACCGAGGCGTGTACGGAGTGTGTGCAGAGAGTGCAGGCAGACTAAGCTAACGTGCACAAATGAAAGAGCATCCTGTATGAACTCGGGCGAATCATATTGTCGAACAATAAGATTGAAAGAATCCGCAAAGTAGGCATTAGTAGACTGAAGGTACGGGCTGATGGCAGATTCTGGGGTACTTGTGGCCAGTGTGGCATTGACGGGATGAACACCTGCACCGAGTGGAGGAGGCGTCCCTGGGGTAGCTTGATTGACAACTGTGTTGTAAAGCATCCAGAGGCCGTTGGTAGCTGCGCCCATTTCAAACAACAAGGCGATGTTGGTCGCGGCAAAGTAGGCTCCAAAGTCTCTCAGCTTCGTAGGTTGTTCGGTGAGCAGCTGCAATGAGCCTCGGCCGACGGATTGAATAGTATCCAAATCGCGAGTTGAGACTACGAGAGCGTGATATGTCACAATCCTCGCTTCTGCTGATTGTTGGCTGCTCTGGATAGTTTGTTCATCCAGCACGATAGGCGCGCACAGGATTGCAAGCGAATCGCGAGCATTCGCAAACGGCAGAACACAGGTCAAAGACTTGGCGTATAAGCAGAATTTGCGCAAACTGGGCCTTTCGAGAATTCCGAGGTGATGATACAGGCGTCCAGTAGATGGATGTCGATCAGAAGCCATGGTATACCAACGCGCAGCGACGCCACCCCAGGTGGAATGCGCTTCTCTCTCTTCTTCGATGGCCATACGATATCTGGCAAGATCCCCCAGGCATTCGATCCACGTGTCGGTAAACCCGGGCACAGTCTCCAACAGCAGAGCCATCATTTGGTAGGCCAAGTATACAAAGGAAAGCATGTAATCCTGGGATTCGGGACGTCGATGTCGGAGCACCTCGAGGAAGGCGTGGATACCGTGCCTCCACATACGCGCCGGCATACAGTACTTGTTTGCGAGGCCGCGCAGAGACGGTGTAGACGACGGATGTTGGGTGGCCTGGGAGCATCATTAGCAGCAGAATACAAAAGTGTTTTTTTTTTTTCTTTTTTTTTTTGGATTGTCCTCGATACGCACCATGAGGAAGTCGTGATGTTCATATAAGAGCGTGCGGTGCAGTCCAATCAAGGCTTGCCACTGCTCCGGGCCCAATGGCGAGCTGGGAGTTGCAGCCTGGGCAGCATCGATGTTGATGCACTTGGCCTCAACCATCACGAGACCGGCATAGATGGTGCGCACTTCGGCAGCCAGCTGGGGGGTCGAGATGGGGGATGAGTCGGGCTGCAGGATGATGTTCCATCTCTCCCCCGTGGTAGACGTCTGTCGCGCCATCAGCCTCTCAGCACTGGTAGAGCATAGTCGTGGAGCGGATGTGGTGGTGTTGGTGATGGTGTTGGTGGTGTTAGTGTTGGTGGTGGTGGTGGTGGTGGTGGTGGTAATGTTGATGGTGGTGGAAGCCTTCAAGTTCGCGCCAGCATCAGCATGTCCCTCATCGTGACACTGTTCACTGCTCTGACGCGAAGGCAACTGCGAGTCATACCCACTGTCTCGATGGGAAGGCAGCTTGACATCTGCGCACGCGGCAGGCGAGGACTTGGCAGGAGTTCGCAGGTCCATCGCGCCTGCCGAGACATTGTGAGAAGAAGGTATTCTTCCCAGACAGCCGCGTCGGGGAGCCCGGCTACGCGTCGCGTGCGCGTGTGCGGGAGCGGGAGCGTGAGCGTGAGCATAGTAGGCCGGCTTCTTGGGCGGACTGCCACCGACACGAGGAGATTGACGACCGCCCGGCTTGGTCAGCTCCGAACTGGCTGACCGCTTTGTCACCAGGGGCGGATAGTCATTCTGGCGGAGGCGGCCTCGCTGCTGCTGCTGCTGCTGCTGACACGCCAAGTGCTCGCGCGAAAGAGTGCGCCGGTGCTCCAAGGACAGACGACTGATGCCGTCCGCAGTGGTGCCGGGTCCGCCGGGTGAGTTGGCCTGCGCGGGCGACTCGTGCGGCGTGAAGTGCTCTGGATGACCGTTCATCGACTCATCCGACGACGATGGAGAATCGCAGACGGGTCCGAAAAAGCGTAGCCTGAACGAGTGAGTTCTCAGTCAGCTTTTATAGAGCAGTGTCAAGGCGTCAAAGGCAGCAGCAGTCTGCAGATGCGATGCAGAATCGGAATCGGAATGACAGCCAGGTGTACGTACTGCGAGATGGCCGCCTGGTCGGTGGCGGTGGTGGCAGTAGGCAGCATCTGTCTACAAATCTCGCCATGGCCACCATCTGGAATACTTCTAAGCCGATGTGGGCCGACCGCGGCCGAGGACGGAGGCGCTTCAGCTGGAGCAGGAGTGTGGTGGTAGTGGCTGGTGGGCAGTCTCGGTGGACAGCCTGTGCCGTGGCTCATATTATGTTACGACGTTGGACTCGCAGAAGATGTTGCTGCTGCTGCTACTGCTACTGCTACTGTTGTTGCTGTTGCTGTTGCTGTTGCTGTTGCTGCGGCTGCTTCTTCTTCCCGTCGTCGTCGTCGTCTTCCTCTTCTGCTTTGGCAACGCATGCGACACGCCGCTGGCGGCCGTTTCTAGGCGCCTGGTCAGCGAATCGCCCGCGCGGGTGCAGTCATCCAATCGTACACTTTATGACTATATATATGTGTAATACATATATAGCGACTTACTTCCGAAGCGCTGGCAGTCGTCCCTTGAAGACTTCAATATCGCGACCATGTCCCACACGGTGCTCAACAGTGCTCTACAAACCAGTCAATCGCCCGTGCGTGTCCCAGCCTCGTGATTATTCAGCGCGCGTATTCGACATCGGGAGCCGCCGGGGCCGCTAGTTCGAGGACGTGGCCGAGTTGCCGTGACACGTCGTCTGCTGCTGCGATGGATTGCTGGCACGGCGACCGGGAGCATTGATAGGTATGCAGAGGCAGAGGCAGAAGCAGAAGCAGAGGACGCAATGGGAAAAAGACTCGATAAATACCTAGAGACGGTGTGGCGCCATGGAAGGCGATGGGTTGCCTTACTTTATGCGCGCACGACTGGTAAAAGACCCCCTCCTCCCTCCCCACCGATCGGTATGTCATGCCGTAGCCCGCCTGAGATCAGCAAGGCAAAATGGTTCGCATGGCATGGCAATTTCCATCCCAGACTATTGAAAAAAACACTATGTGATCACGATACACCCCCACACGCATACACGCACACACACACCACACACACACACACACACACATCGACCAATATCTTCTACGTGGAGCCTTCAAGCCGCCCTGCTCATTGCACCATACACCCCCTTTGTATGTTGAGCACTAACCCTGCGAGGCCACCAACACACGCTCAGATGTGGTGACGCAGATTTCATTCATGTGTAACGTGCTGTGCTACCGGAGCTGAGAACCGCACAAGAACATCACTTGCCGCATCACGGGTACATGTCAGCGTCCTGCACCAAAAAGAGGCCGCACATACCTGTACGCACGCCACAATAGAGTAGCTGTCAATAACAAGCAAGTACTAGACGCTCACCAACATGAGGGCGCTTGCCTTGTACTAGAGTCTTGCAGAGACCACCAAATCGCAAGGCAACCTGCGCCCGACTCATTGGTGGCTCCAAAGCCCCTCGAGCAGATGACAAGTGACCATGAGTCTGCTGCCCCAGTCTGTCCACGCCAAATTGGGACTGTTTCAGGCACAACGTGACCTCGTTCACTCGTCGCCTTGCCGAATGCACTCTGAACCGATATTGGCCGAAATGCTCCAGAAGGCAAATGACTGTGCATGACGATAGAAAGTGCTTCGACACTGCCCTTGTCTGAAAGTAGAAAGCCGCAGTCTACTCCGACGCACCAGAGAACACGGTCGCTCGAGCACAAGGCAACTCACCTCAACTCAATGTCTTGTATACCGTTCACATCGTCCTTCCGGGTTATGAGGATCCCAACCGTCCGGGTTTGTGGAATGCGCCCTGGAAAACTACTGCACCAAGAATAGGCACACTGAGTTGATTGTGAGAGTCCATAGCATGGTAAAGACCCCGTAGAGAATGTATCGGCCGTATCTCCTCGATCCATGAAGCCGAGCTTCGTCAGGATTCACGATTTTGACGCCTCATGAGCCAGATCCTTCGAGTGCTACCACTGTATTGTGGCGGGTCACTCTTCTGCAAACGGCATCCCGAGAAGAGCATCTATTCCCTAGAAACGGCTGAGTGAGATACGATCTATTCCCTAGAAACGGCCGAGTGAGATACTGAAGACACCAGTCTTGTGTAGACACGCACTGCCGTGGTCTGCAGGAGAGAATTCATCGACACAGTGACTGCGCAATGACTTGGAGCAATGCGAGAGGATTCATCGCGATCGTGTTTGTGACCTGCAGCACTAGCACCCGACGTTGTAGAGATGCATCCGTGCCATAAGTGGCTGCCAGGCAGCAGAAGACATGTTGTTGCCTCAAATGCCTCGACTCCAGCTTTGGTCCTATCGCAGTACTCCACGACGCGGCGGCCGAAATAATCGCATTTCCTAGGCTACCTTTACGCATACATTGCCTGGGCCGCTCGCTTGGTATCTCCCAAGCGATGACCAAATTGCAGGGAGTCTGCTTCTTGTGGCTCTTGTCAGAGCGTAATGTGATGGAACAAGACTTGGCAGTTACAGCGCGTGCAGTAAGTACCTGACCTCCGCACTGTCTTCGACATGTGGTAATCCTATGGAACGGAAGCCTTCCCCGCGCCGAGATGTGCTGCGGTCCAGATTACGCGTGGCGTGGGAGGAACTGTCACAGGATGCAGGACCCTTTTCGGGGCCGGAGAGAAACATGCGTCTCGGCAGAGGGGCCTTTTTGGGATAGAGGCCGCGAGTCTCAACTCATAGGACCGGTAAGCTCCATTGAGAGATGCGGACGGAGGATGGTGCCTTTTGCCTTCAGTAATACTGCTTCATGCAATGTATCCGGCGTACGGTGGTAGTCCCTGTTGGTTCGGTAGGTTTGAGGGTAGATTCCTAGTACTGATTATTCACTTTCTCGAGTGCCTGGTATACGTAGGCGCGATTCAAGTGACTGCATATTGCTGAAAAAAAGCGCCTCTTGGGGCTGCCAGGCACCTATCCCAGGCAGCCATCAGTCCTCTTCCAGGCGGAGACTTTGCTTCCTCGTTGCGTGAGGAGGGCGTCGTCTTGAGAGCGAGTGACGAGCACGTGGTTGGCCCGTATGATAATGTATCAGTTGGAAGCTGGAGGGCGGAAGTGAACGGGAGATGTGGTGGTAGGTGGAGGGAGGAGGAGGAGGGAGGAAGTCTCAGTCATCATCAGCCCACCTTTCGGTTACTGTAGTTCTAGCCAATCACCAACAAGCTCGGGTCCCTTGATCCCCCGTGGCCAGACGCTTGGCACTGGAAGCTCGATGCCACCACGGGCAGAGAGCAGGATGGACAAGCCACGGGGCATTGATGGGGGGATCAGACAATGAGACGAGGCTCTGCTGATATGGACAGAGATGGACTTCTGGAGCCGCCTGCTAGGAAGTGCCAATACGCCCAAGAAGCCCTCGAAACCGCCCGCCAATGACCCTCAGACGCGCCTGGCACGCTTCAGACGCGTGTATAACAACATCCTCGAGCTCTGCGATCGACCGCGCACGTTGGAGTCGGAGGCTCCGCTGCTAAAGCAGCTGCACACGCATCTGGAGCGCCTTGCTACGCTGCTGCGCGAGGAGTCGCGAGCGCCGGTGCCCCATATCTGCTTCCAGTTCGCGGCTAAGAACCGCATCTATAATGCCGTCTGTCGCGTGGCTACAGTAAGTCATTATGAGCCCATCATACGCGCCGCCGTGGCCGCCTTTGCCGCCTTGGTGGACAGCGAGGAGGAGGACTTTTTGGCCAACGGCAACTTTGCCCGAAGCCTGATGCTGCTGGTCCGCAAGGTCGTCGACAGCGGCGAGTACCTGATCGATGTGGACACGGAGACGGAGATACTGGAACTGCTGTTCACCATTGCGGCCAAGATCCGTCTGCAGCCAGACATCCTGCCAGTGTGGTTTCGCAGCACCGTCAAGCCGGACCAGGAGCAAGTCGTTGTCCAAGAGAAGAAGAGCAGCTTTGTGGGCATCACGCAGAAGGATGACTTCCCGCTGTGCTATCTCCTCATTGACCGAGTGCATCACGAAGGTCGAATTGGCGACTTTGCGCGGACTGGTCTGCTATACGTATTCGAAGCGACAGGACGCTCCCGGGAATTGGAAGAATGGGTCATTAGCAGCGACTTGCCGACGCTGATGGCATCAGGCCTGGGAGCTCTGTATAGCCAGCTCAGTCGAGAGTTGAGCATCTTGCATGCTGATGCCGAATTGCCTGCCGTGCTCGCTATGAGCGACTATGCAACGACGCACCCACGCGCCACAGCTGAGTCTGCCTTTTCTGATCGGCACAAATCCCACATGGCCACCTTCCTCTCGTACTTGGCTTTCTGGCAAGACGTGCTGGACCATTGCCGCAGTGAAGATGTGAAGCGAACGCTGCTGGACCACTTCCAGATCCTCTTTCTGCAGCAATTACTGTACCCATCTCTCTTGCAATCGAGCGATACCGATGCTGGTAGCTCCATCGCTGTACTCACATACATGACTGCAATGCTGGAGTCACTGGAGTATCCAGATCTCATCGACATGATACTCCGATATCTCCTCGCAATAGCAGAAGACGAAAGCAGCACTGTGCCCTCCACGCCTCAAAAGGCCGGCCGCTCCAGTGGCGCACCCGATTCGCCAAGTACGATCAGAAAACGGCAGAGTTTGTTGCTTCTGAGTGCGCCGCCCAATCCCGACGATGCTGTTGAGCCGGCATTGTTCAATTTAGTCGACCTCATCACCAATAACGTGGCTTCACAAAACGGCCAGAGTGTCTATGCTGCACTGAAGCTTGCCTCGACGTTGATCTTCAGACAGAAGCAATATGCGATTGGGCATTTGCTCAAGACGCGCAAGTCTAAACCGACCGCCATTGGTCGCACAGTTGGCGCGCTTGAACTCGAAATCGACAAGTATGGTCAGCTTGCCTCAGATCTGCATCGGCACTATGATCTCGACGACGCATACGGCCGGCTTTGTGAAGACATGCGCAGTCGCATCGAGTCACAAGTACCTCTCCTGCCAGCCCAATCGACTGCGGCCGACGAGATGAAAGTGGTGGGTAGCTATCAATTGGCATTGGAAGACCCGCTCATGCAAACTATGCTCAACCTTCTGCGCACATTCTTCTCCAATAGTATCGATGTCAATCTCGAGCTCACTCAGACCATCATTGCCGTCTTTCATTGCGTGGAGCTGCGTCTGGACTCGTGGGTTGCTGTTGAGCCTGCATTGTATCAGCTTAACGATACTCTGGGCCCGAGACGAAGCTGGCAAGAATATTTTGACAGCGAAGAGCAGGAGGCGTGGGATGCTTTGGCAAAAGGCATCCAAATGCCCGCCTGGACTTCCGAGGCTGCACCTCAGCTGCACAGGGAGCTCGGAGTTCTAGCTCAGGAGCTCGATGGAGTACGAGCCACGATTCCCAATCTCGATCAACTCATTGCAGGGAGAAAGGTCATGCTGCAAGCATCTGGTCACGACACCACTGTTCTAAGCGAGCCTTCATCAGCGATGGGTAGTCCTGTTCCACGACGTGCAATGTTACAAGTGCTGAACAGTCAACGAGCCCTGAGCAGCAGAGACTCCAGTCGCTCTTCGATGCTCGGTCGTGGACGAACGGATGAAAACAAGGCGGCGACCAATGCATCGACACCACATTCTGCACGTGAAAGCTCCGCCACATCGCCGATTGCTTCTAGAACGACTTCTCAGGCGAGGCCGATGAACAATTCCAGTACATCACCTCCTTCCGGCTCGTTTTTCAAACCTCCCCCGCCCGAAACGCCTTCGACTACAGATGTTCTGATGCAAGTCATCACCTTCTCCCAACCCGATGACAATGTGTCAGGGATGATGGATGAAGCCGAGAACAAAGCTTCACAGCCTCGCACGGCAAGCCTCAACCACGTGTTAACAAACGTCGTGGTCTTGCAAGAATTCATTCTTGAACTTATTGCTGTGCTGCAGCTTCGCGCTGCAGTACTAGGAGATGGAGAAGTTCGAAGCACCGTTGCAGCAGCATGAGTGAGAGCAAAATTCTCTTCTTGTGTATCTTCTTTCCGTCATGTCAAGCGAGTGTTGAGCCACGTTCTGTTTGTGTATACATGGATGTTCGCAGTCCTGGGTCAGAAGTCACTGCGGCATACCGAGTAGATTCTGAAACATGTTTGTATATACTTACCTTGGGTACTTTGTAGAAGAAGTAGAAGTAGAAGTAAAGAAGCTCTCTCTCTCTCTCTCTTTCTCTCTCTCTCTCTCTCTCTCTCTCTCTCTCTCT